TCCTATATGCCATTTCAAAAATCTCCTGATTAATGCCCACACTCATAAATAACTCCTCTACACTACCAAACGACTCACTTTCCACTGCTTTCTTAACGGATTCCAATATAGACCTCGCAATCTCTACTCTCATCTTGTTACTCCTGTCAAAACACCTACAGACTGGTTTGTCTTCTGACTGAGGATCCTCCCCTGTCTTCTCTGCCTCCTTCTTGTCACATGTGCATTTTTTTTCTTCTATTTTACAAATAAATGTACGCTCAGACACAGGTTTTGGGAAATTGAAACGACATACAGTCTTCTTTTTCCTGCATGACTTTGAATGTCGTTTGGAATGTGTTTGCACTGATGACACAATGTCCAATAATGCGTCATCATCTGAGGGTAACTCACACGATACGTACTTATCAATAAACTCTACAACCTCCTCGTCTGTATTCTTATCAATTTGGGGAGCACCCTCAATCCAAAACAGACAGTGAACATGAGGAAAACCGCGCTGCTGAAACTCGACTCTATAAAAATAATCTATGATTTTGCCAATTGGTTGAGCAGGAGACATGAGAACCTCGTTCAGAAAACAATGCCATCTGTAATCAAACATCCTTGCTGCTGTAACTGGGTTACCACGCAACAACTGACACCTGTCTGCCCACTCCAAATCCTCTACCGTCTGCGTTCTGCCTTCCTGCTTCAGGATGCTGGTCAGGAGATTCTGCCAGCGCAGATCTGCAGACGAAAACGAGCAAAACCACGTCGGAATCCCTAACTGACACACACAGGCCAAGACGTCCTTCTGCACGGACATCCAAAACGCAGGGGTCCCACGAAGAGGCTTTAAAAACCTAAATCCATCATCAAACTGCAACAACTGCTTCAGATACTCCTCATCCTTCAGCATACTCTGACTAATCCTTTGAGACCTCTGACCTCCCTTACCTTTACGCAACGCTACAGAAACACTCGACATCACCTGATCAACCTCTGACATGTACTGAGCAAAAAATATGTACTCTACATCACGTGCAAAACGACCATCGCAGTGCACAATCCTATTGTTGAAATAACGCGACAGACTCAACTGATAACGCCGACTGTCATGGAAGGTCTTCTGACCCACAGGAAACAACACGGGGAAACACTTTGCTTCATTACTCTGGTCAGAAAGCATCCTAACTGGACTATTTCCCTCTGCAGGCGCTATATTCACGATATCATCAAAATACTGATCTAATGCTTCCTGACCAATATCAACAGGCATAAGACAAGTGTCCTGAAACATGCAGTGCTGCTGTCTGTCATGTAACATTTCATCTTGTACTATGACTGCTGATTCTGCTAAATCATCAACCTCAGCCTTTTCTACAACCTGACCAACAACCTCACTTCCTGTACCAGCTTCCTCACTTCCTCTACCAGCTTCATCCTCACTAGCTGATCCAGCCTCTTCCCTGTCCCCATCTTCCTGTCTACAAAACTCATTAATCCACTCCTCATTAAACTCTGTCTCTTTAATGAATATTGGTCCTCTTTAAATACTCCAGCGCCTGTCTTACATGCAACGGATCCACAAACTGGTACTCGTAATGTCCCTTATATGTCAACTTGCGCTTTAACTTCACCTGCACCAAAGACCCTTCCATACTCGAACGCGGCAACACATTACTAGTTTGCGTAATGTTGGCGGGAACACAGGTCACTGGACCATGTACTCCATTTTGCCCCCCGTTAGGCAATGCCAACATTTTCATAAAAGGAATATGCAAGGTTATCAAATGCTGCTCTATACTATTCAGACATCCCAGTTCTGGTGGAACAGGATCAACATCCAAGTTATTACTCCAACATTTAGCTGGCATCTCACCTGCACTAATCTTACGATGACACATATGACAAATCCACAGCTGACCTCTAGACAACACCAACTGACAAGGCACAACACACTGATCGTTACATCTATGCAAATACTTCTCACTAATGCACTATTCTGCAATACCCGCTGTAGCTAAACTTGTACCATACACTTCCCTTACACAGCTCTGCACCTGATTTCTAAACAACAACCTATGACACACACAACACACAAAATCTGGACCATCTCTGACCTTTTCCAAAAACTGCTCCATAACAAAACCAAAGTCGACTGACTTGTCCATCCTCTGCTTCCTACTCAACCTGACGCTATCCATAACCCTCTCTCCATGCTCAACCCTTTCTCTATATTTATTAACACTCAGCGCTTTAACTTTCTCCCTGTGCTCGATGCTTTCTCTATACTTCACTATACTCTTAGCTTTACAACTCACTTTAACTTTCTCCCTGTGCTCGATGCTTTCTCTATACTTCTTAATACTCTTAGCTTTACTAATTGCTTTAACTTTCTCCCTGTGCTCGATGCTTTCTCTATACTTCGCTATACTCTTAGCTTTACTAATCGCTTTAACCCTCTGCCTGTGCTGGATGTTCTCTGTATATTTACTAACCTTCCTCGCTTTAACACTTTCTCTATACAATACGTTCTCCTGATACATCTTCATAAACTTTACTTTACGTCTCTCCCTAAGCAACCTACTGATTTTCTCCTGTGTCCCTTTTCTCTGCCTCAAATACTTTGATTTTACAGGCTTACGACCTACGCCTTCAGACCCTACACATTCATTACATCCAACGGCTAACTTCTCACTATCCACAACATCTGTCACTCTAGACCTAATGCTATAACCTGACACATCACTAAGTTTACAGTAACTATAACAAATCTGCAGTCCAGGCTTATGCACACAAACAGTGTTCTCAAAATGCTGTCCCATGACATTCTCTACATAAATACACTCTGCTGACAAACACGTAGTGTTACACTTGTACTTCAACCAACGTCCATCATAAAAAGTACACACACTAACTCTTAACCAATCTGCTGTGACCTGGATTTCTACCTCTGTACCCCAGCTGTTCACATTTCTCATCCTGGACTGCTGAAGATACTCTGAAACAGATGAATACTCACTTCTCAGAAGACTTGCATACTTATTTGCATTCCTTTCTAACTCCTTACATACAGCTAGCCTAATCTTGCAATGGTGCTTCTGTGAGCCACTCACAGCCTGAGAGATGGCTCTGAAGAAGCAGTTACCATCAGCCACAATCCTCTCATTTAAACATGGGACCCCTAACAGCCCCACCTCTGTGGACACCGAACCACTGACCTTCCCAAAGTCTATATTCAACTTGCTACACAAAGCTTTACAGACATCTACACTAATAGGTTGGAAGAGCAGCTCCTCATTTGCTGCAGCACAACACAACAAATTCTACATCAGCATTAACCTCACTATCATCAAATGTCTTTAATTTCTTCAACACACTAGTGCGAGAAGAAATTTTACGCTTTCTACCATCATTAACTGTTGACTCTGCCGCTGAACCACTGCTCACCTGACTGGCTAAAGTCACAACAGAAATGCCAGACAGTGCTGGACTTACAGTTACACCAACACCACACTCAGACACACAATTTCCTGAGGAAATGTGTTTTACCCTGGCCTCAGAAACATCACTATACTCTGCCACTGGAGCAGTACTCATCTCAGTAATACAGCTCTCCACAGAAACACAAGACAGCATTGGGCTTGCACCCTCACTGACACTGACGCCACACAGCTTAAAGAGCTTCTGCCTAGAACTGAGACTGTCTGCCAAACAACAGATGTATCCATAGAGATCATCCAGACAATCAAACTGCAACACCACACTTTTACCATCACTATGCACTAACCCAATGTCACAACGCGAGTGACTGTCTACCACAGCAAACCTTCCATCTTTACAAATGATGACAGAACTACTCCCACACAGTGTCATAATACATGTACTATACTGTCTGAAGATCCTCTCCAGTCCATTTCTCAGACTGATGAACACACCACTTTCGATGTGTTCACCCTCAGTCACGCCTACTTCACCCAACACTGTGTCACCATGGCTAAAGCTAAACAACTGCTCCCCTATCTCAAACTGCTTTGGCAAATCTCCAACAGATAGCAGATTTGATTTGTGGCTAAAAATGTTCAGGTCACGCAAACTAGTGTACAACTCATCACCTACAACCAACACGCGATCAACATCAAACCTATCCCACGACAACACACTCAACAATGTGTGTTTGGCTAAGCTGGCCAAAGCTATAGCCATACACTGCCGCCCTTGATACACAAACTGCTCATCTCCCTGGTGAAACGTTCCCCTCACAACCTCCCCCAGCCTGAACCCTCTGCTACCCTCTGCTGCCACAGCATGACTGTCTGACTCTGACACAACTGCACTAACATCAGGAACACTAACAAAAGGAACAAAAACATCCTTATCTGTGCCGATCCTCTGTGACATCCGGGTTCCAACATGACGACATGTTACTGCTTTCTAAAATCATCAATTACTGACATTATATTTAAAATGAAACACACCTCCTGGACTGCTGGGCCGGGCTTGGAGGCAGACTCGGTCACAGAGGCAGGCACAGGTGTTGCCGGAACCTATCAAGACAGAATAAAAATCAAAAACCATTAAAATGCAGCACTCACTTTGTCGTGGCATATGTTTTAGAAATATAAAAAAAATTCCACATCAACATCCTACCAAAAAAGAACAAACAAACAAAAAAAAAACACCAACCTGCCGCTTTCATCCTCTGCACGTTGTGGCAACGCCTCTCGGCTGACGCTTCACACGGAAGGTCTGTAGGAAGGAAAACAAACCTCTTTAAAAACTGTCCTCCCGTTTTGACCTCTACAGTATTGATGCAATGTGTAAACAGCTTACCTGCCCATCTGGCGGATCAGCAGGGCAGCCAGAGCCAGAAGAAGGGGAAACCTTCTCCATGGCGTCCAACATGCCACTGCTGAACCACACAGTGTTGGACAGGATGACAGACTGTCCCACCGGAGATGTTCCAGCCTTACAAAACTAAAACAGAGTTGGTTCGATTTCATTTTGGAACAAAAAACTTTGCACAGCTTTAAGCCACAAATTGTCTTGAAGCAACACATTACCTTGCCCTGCCGTCCACCCTGCCGTCCAACCACCGCCCACTCGCTGGGGTCACTGTGACGTGGCACGGGAACGTGCCCCGTCACGACCAGACTGGGGGACACCCGGCCACCCGGCGATCTCCGGGGAGACACCGGGGGCGGGGGCGGAGGGGGTGCCAGCTGGAGGTAGGCCACATTCCACAGCAGCTGCACCAGGATGGGCATGCCATCGGAGTCGCTGAGGTGCACCGCAAAGACAGTTTAACACAACCAACATGTCACTCCAAAAACATGAAACTCCACCACGTCTTATATCACACCAACAAAGTATCCTGTACTTACGCCATCATGGCACCACAGCTCCAACCGATGGACTGGGAAGTGCGCCGTCACAGACACGTAGGGGAGACTTGACACACATAACAGAAACATAAAAACATAATCAATCCTTCTAATATTTACACTTGTATAAATTCTGTTGAATTACACATTACATCAATTATAACTGATGACCACAAATGTAATGTACCCATGCGTGCTGCGACACGGTGGTATTCCTGACGCAGCTGCTCTTGGAAGCCAAGGTCCATGGTCAGACGGGGAGGGAAGTCCAACACAAAGACCTAGAAACAACCATTTCTTCATTAATTCCCTTTAAAAAACACATAACACAACAGTCTGTTCACAACTACCAAATAAATACTGACTGCAATAACAAAAAAAGGAAAAACAAATAAATAAATACATAAAACACACCTTGGGCCAGCGACTGCAGACGGTGGTCAGGAGCGCACCGAAGTCCAACGCCGCCTCACTGATGGTCCTACTGGCAGTGAGGTTGTTGCTCGGGACGAGCACACACTCAGCGTCCGGGGTCCATGGAACAGCAGCACGCAGCACCTCCGTCCTCAGCTCCCTGGTGTCTGTACCTGGAACAGACAGAAAACCAAAAGACAGACAGCCCTCTGGAATGGCCACGAACCCGTCCACGATGGCGCGCAGGTGGGAGTCTCCAACGACGAACACGTGCTGCGACAACAGAGACATTGCTTTAGAACACAGACACCAGGCGTGACACCATGCAACCATCACTGTCTTTATGAATAAGACAGAAATCATACCTGCTTCTCCGGATGCTGAGCTGGAGTGACCAACTTGAAGCTGCACTGGGTCAGCTCCGAAGTTGGCCATCTCCGCACACGATGGCGGTAACCAGCTGTTGATTTAAATCTTATAGGTATGTTATTATATCATTGTCTCTAGCAGGCATTTAATTGTACTGATTTTCTACATCACACTTATTGTTAAATAAAGCAATGCGTTTTCTTTAATCTACAGATAGCCCTCTCACTTGACAGTGTGATCTGCTACCCTCCTGCTTTGACAACTGCGACTACAGACAACTACAGATTTTCATGCGGTTTGGTTTGTTACAATCGTAAGACATATAGTTATGTTACAGGATACTTGGTTAAATAAAAAATGCAGCTTTTCATACCAAAATATTTGATCTTACGTAGATAAAGTAACAGTAATAGTTCTACAACACATTTGGCTTTATTTCACCATGTATTGTTTGTGGTTTCCGCCGTGTTAAGTTACTGCTGATGAAGAAAGCATTTCCTGCTGCTGCTGCTGCTCCAAATTAAAAGGGTTCCAGTTAGGAACTAACAGAAAGCTTTTATTCTGAAGAACTTACAGGAAATGAAATGTGTTTGATGAATCAGTGGTGCTACTAACAAACTGTGCAGACAGGTAACGTTAAAGAATATGCAGCCACAGCTGGAAAAAACACCCAGGTCTGCAGGAGCTGATGGACAGTTTTCAGTCGAGTGAGTAATATCGTCCGTGTCGTCTCTTTGTTTGCTTTTACCGAGTGACCTAGCGTACCTGTCCCAGAGCAAGCTGCAGCTGTTGCTCACCGGTGTATCCCTCCGCGCAGGACATACTGACCCCCTATAAGCCGCAATGCTAACCGCTGAGCCCTGGCCATTGGACGTACAGACACAAAAAAGATATCGATCATGTTGTCTGAATATGAAAATGATAGAGAAAGGGCATAACTCCCAAATCGTCGGAGTATTCTTTTAAACAAGATAAAAACACGTCAGTGTGGTGTAAAGGAACACCGTCATTTTTACTACTGAATATCCGACTGGCATCAGAGCAGAGCATAACGTTATATTGTGTGAAATGTAGTGAACTCTGCTAGAAACGCACACTCAACCTGCAGCAATGCCTGTCTGTGTTTTCTACTTTTTCATCAAATGACAGGAAAGCATAAAGACACAGTGAAACATATCCTGCTGTTTTTTCTTGTAAAAGGCCTGGTTTAGGAGGGAGAAATGCAGAGTAAGATAAGATAAGATGTACTTTATTAATCCCCGAAGCGAAATTCAGTAAATTCAGTAGTATGTTCAGACACTTTTGAAACCAAATACCTATTATTGTCCTAATTGAAGACTGTTCTGAAATTACATGGTATTTATTTATTTAAAAAAAAATAATTCTAATTTATTTATTTTTATTTGTAGCCCATGCAGTATTTTTTTTTTCAGATAATCATTTATTACTCATAATTGAGGTAAAAAGTTAAATTAATCTTGAATTTTGCCACAATCTGAAGCAATTTAGAGATGAAAAATAAGGGAGAAGAAGGTGAAAGAGACAACATTGGTGCAACCCTAATATACTGCAATTCATTTTAAGTAACCTGGAACATTTTTTTTTGCATTTAAAAAAAAAAAAACTGGTGCAGTTTTTGAAAAAATGTTATTTAATATATATAATAGTCTGTGTTCAATAAAGCCAATAGTCAGTGTTTTATGTGTACATCCAATTGGATTTCAATTCAAATATGAATATATTTGTTGACTAAAATTACTGTACTTGTTTTCAGGTGAACATCCACCCATGCAAAAGTTCTTGGACAGCTACACCACGTGACACCCCAGAAGCCAATCCATTACACCTCAGTGCAGGTACCATATGAAAATACGATGATTTTTACACATTATTATTTCTTTTTTCTTTATGAATAACGGAGTGAACAGCTTTTGGACTCTACAGTTGACACTAGCTTGGACACTACAGTTGACTCCCTAGAAGCCTTTGTAGCCATTACTCCTCAAAGCTTACTTGTTTTATGGGATTGCCATGTATTCTTTTCTTTTTTTTTTTTCTTGCTGTCACTATGACACTTCATTGTGGTATCTGCGAGTTCACAAGTGCCTCAGTGTCTGCCTACTTAAAACATTGCAGGACCCATAGAAACATTAGTCGGGCAGTTTTTCCTTGTGGTTTTCCAGATTGTGGAAAAAGCTTTACCTCTTACAATTCCTTTAATGTGCACTTGACCATAAATCACCATGAGGGGAGGAAACAGTCTTTTAATCGTAACATATCTGTACAGTTGAAGTGTTCTTGGGAATTTTGTGGCAAAGAGTGTGGAAGCATAAAAGGTCTTGTAGCTCATCTGAAGTGTCATATAAAAGAGGGTCTTGAAGTGACATGTCCTTATAGTGGATGTGGAAAGACTTTCAAAATCACATCTACTTTTACATCTCATTTGTCAAGATGTCACAAGCAGTGTGATGTTACACATATTTGTCAAAGTCATATCAGTGAGACAGTGTTCACATGCTGATTCTGATAATGGGCCAGGGTCATACATTGATGGTGAAATCCAGCAAGATGATTGAGAGAGTGCAGCAGGGCAGCAAGATGGAGACACTCACCCAGGGTCAGCCGAGGATAGATACACTGAAAACATGGCTCTTTTTTTTCTTGGCTTACAAGCCAAGTATCTTGTCCCGGCATCTACAGTCTCAAAGATTGCAAGTGAAATGAGAGTGCTTCAGGACATCCAGCATGAGTTTACTATGGATTTGTTTTCAAGAGGTCTTCAAGAATATGGTGTACCTGATGAGGCTTTACAAAATCTAGGGCAACATGTATATGAGCAAAGCCCAATGCAGAGCACACTACATACAAATAATGGCAGTTTAACCACACACCACAGAAGACTTCAGTATTACAGGAAAGAGTTCTACTTAGTTGAACCTGTATAGATAAATTTAGGCCAAGATGACATCGGCAAGCAACAACATTTCCATTACGTTCCCATCTTACAAAGCTTAAAAGCTCTCTTGTCGAATCAAGGTGTACGGCATCAAGTGCTACATCCCATACCTGCCAATGAGAACATGCTACGTGATATTGGAGATGGGCATGTCATTAAATCATTTATTTTATTTTTTTCCCTTAATGTGGCCCTAATACTCTTGTCTTAGTTTTGTACTACAGTTTTAAAGAAAACAGTAATTTTAAAGCGATCTGTAGTGTTCTCTAGACAGATTTACTGTTCAATAGTCATTCATCAGATGTAGCATCTGGCAGGATTCAGACCTGTGTTTTTGTGTGTTCATATAGGCAGGCTTTTTAACCCTCTACACACAAATGATGATTTAAGCTTCTGCTCATTTGTAAATGTTACAATTTCACTGATACATGTTTTCAAATTATCTTAAGTGTTAGTGTAGTACAGTTTTAAAATATTCCATCTACAGTAATTTTTTTTTTAATGTTCAATTGCCATTCTTCAATTGACCTGTAAATATGTGTTCATAGGCAGGCTATTTTATGTGCACTGCTTCTGTGATGATTTATCTGAAAAATAAACCATTAAATAACAGATGGCTTCCTGTTTTTTTTTACTGTAGGATAAAGACCATTTAATACCAGATAATTTCCTGTTTTTTCACTGTAAATGCCCTTTAAATTACTGAAATTAGATTACAGACAATGTTTTATTTCACTATAGATACACCATTTAATAACAGAAAATGACCTGTTTTTCCACTATAAGAACACCATTAAATGACCGCAAATATCTTGTTATTTCACAAGAGATATACCATTAAATAACTGAAAATGTCCTGTTATTTTAGTTGTAGTTTATTGTTAATTGACAGTTAAATTCTGTTTTTTATGAATGGTTAATTGACAGCAAAATTCTGTTTTTTAATTAACAGTCAAAGTCCTGTGTAATGAGCTGCCAGTACTTTTACTGTTATTTTACGGAAACATTTCTGACTGTGTAGTGCTCATGGGAGCCTGGACACAGAACTGTTTACATTATTAGGTCATTACACATGTTAGATTATGTCATTATTTATACAGACACTATTTCAATCATTTTACAGCTGTGTTTGAGGTTAGATAGGTTTAACAGGTAAACCAAACTAACAGCAGAGTCGGTCAACTCAAACATTCAGATTGAAGCTACAAAATGCCACAAACTACAAAACAACTGCCATAACTTGTGACTCAAGGGACCAGTTGTTGCGGCCATTTTGTTTGTAGAAGTTTGAGCTAAAAACGTCCATATTGTGATGGTTTATTTTCCAGTGCAGTTCGATAACGCCTGCACTTCAACGCTAAAAATCCAAACAAACAGCGCAGACAAGGAGACAGTCTTAAAACAGCTAATGGTAGCATTAGCACCTAGCTTCAACCATCACATAGCTCTACAGTTAGACCCTTGATTCAACAGTGAAGGACACAATGAAGCCTTTGAGCCACCAGCAGGCCAGCCAGCTGCTCCATAACAAGTTCGTTGTGGTTCTGGGAGACTCCATTCAGAGGTCTGTGCACAAGGACCTTGTTATGCTGTTGCAGACGGACAAATATCTCTCTGCAAGACAACTCAAGACCAAGGGTGAGATGATCTTTGAACAGGACTGCCTGGTGGAAGGACGTTGTCTAAGTCCAATGCACAATGGGATAGAGTACCGCAAGGTTCGGCAGTTTCAGTCCTCCCTCCACTTGGTCCGCTTCTACTTTGTGACGCGCATCTACTCTCGCTACGTGCAGAGCATCCTAGAAGACTTCCACTCTCTAGCGCCACATAGGTGCACTAAAATGGCCACTGCAGCCCTTAGGAATGTTGTATCAAGATCAAACCAAAACTGGTGTGTTTGACTTACAAATCATGTGCTGACACCCATGGCCTAAATCCAACAGGAAGTGAGCTATTTGCCCTTTCAAAGTAAGATTTCCCCTCAAACGTGCTCTTAAAAAAACACATCTCCTCCTACACTGTTTATTGTATCGGCTTTAAAGACGCACACATACCAGTTCAACTGCTGCTAAACAGATCTTCTGTATAACTTTATCTCTCTCATGATCAC